ATGAGTATTCCACTTAAAAATTAACATTATAACAGAAGTGGTATAGTAAACAAAGTAATGATGATAAAAGTGTGATTTTGAACATGTTGGTCGGTCGTATTGGTAAAAACTGTATATTTTTTCAGTCTCAATTCATAATGTCAATTATACAGTTTACAGTTTATGTGCACATTATTAATTTGAGCATTTTACTTAAAGTTTGAGGAAACACTTTGTGTTTCAGGTTCATTAACGTATTTCTTCTTTGTCTCTGTTTCATTTGACGATAAATTAATGTCGGGGCTCTCATTTGATTTTAATTCTGTGTTACTGATTGATTTGATTTCCCTCGGTCCTGTAATATTAGATCTTATTCTAACTTACATAACATTGTTTTGAAAAGCTTTAATAATGAAGTTGTTATGCTGATATTTCGACTGGTTTAAAAAAGCTCATAATGTGAATCTAAGGAATATTTTTAGTAACTGTTGCCAGCTAGCCTCGCTGAAGAAGAATTTGTTTGCCGGATAAATGAGCAGAGTGAGACCTCTTCCCTTTCACGCCCATCTATCTGGCTAACTGAAACACCGGCACCTGAACGTGACACAGATGTTTCCTATGATTCTCACGCACGAGACTCTTTTATCGTTATTTCAAGTTTCCAGCTGCTGATCCGCTGCTATCTTCACCTGCTGCACCAACATGGCCGCGAACCCTCCAGGACAAGGTCAGTGTCTCTGTTGGTTTGTTGTTAATAATGTTGAAAGCGAGGTTCTTTGTCTTTAACTGTGTTAAATATACGGAAGCGGAACTACAAATCCCGTGTCCCTGAACGCATCACAGCCCCTGTGGTTTTGAGTTCCTCTCATTGATCGAAGAAACAAAACAATTCAAATCTCAAAGCTTGATTGAAAATGAGCAGAAAGAAAAATAATCTTATATAATCTTTCACAAGACACTCATTAACATAACCAAAAAAAAATAGCAGCAGTTACAATTCATTGTATACCTTTCAAAGAAGCTCCAACAAAACTTAATTAACAGGTCATTGTATTCCCTCAACACACTGGCTTTAATTGTTTTTTTTATATGTAATGTTTGCTTTAGATTCTTAGGTTTCTTCGTTGAGATTGTTCCATAAACTTTAGCTTAAAGCCTCTTGAAGCTCATTTCATGGTCTTTATTAATTGTTTTTTTCACCCAGCCTTCCCAAACAAAACCCGGGTTGCGATCCTGGCCGAGCTGGAGAAGGAGCGGTGGCGGCTGCTGCAGAATCCATCCATGAACGCTGCTGGAGGCAGGTATGAACATTCACCTATACCGAAGCCAAATAATCAATATGTTGTAGATTATCAAAAGTGGGATTTCCAACAAGAGCAAACTTTGAGGTTAATATGAGAAACATCTTTCTGTTCAGATCGAGTCTGAAGGATTTCAGAGACAACGCAGATCAGCAGCACATCGCTGCTCAGCAGAAAGCTGCTCTGCAGGTGAGATACATACAAACAAACACGTACAAATGCAACTACAATCATCTAAATCATGACAAACGAGAAATTAACTCAGTAGAAGGAAAATCTCAGTCAACGGTCCCTTTAATTAAAATCAAGCTTTCTTGTTTATCATGTCGTCTTTTAAAGTTGAGCAGGATGTGTGTGTGTTATTTCTTAAAAGAGGTGTTGAGGCCGTAGGTTTTAATTTTGTTCCTCAGGATTACAGAAGTCCTCACTCAGCGACAGTAACACTAACCCTTGTCTAACTAACCAGGTCTTCTCTTGCAGCACGCACACACGCACTCATCGGGCTTCTTCATCACTCAGGACTCGTCTTTCGGGAACCTCATCCTCCCCGTCCTCCCGCGCCTGGAGCCTGAGTCCTGACCTTCTGCCACGGATCTGCCTCCAAGCTGCCTGAGACAAAATCAAAAATCACGTCAGACCAACGAGTCGGCTGCTTATTTATAGAGAAGCTTTCAAACAGAAACCTCCTGATCTTCTACGGCAAACTACAGAAATCCTGCTGATCCATAAATGCACATTTCCTCAGGTTTTTACATTTATAATTGATTTGAATTGATATCTGGAAAATAAAATTATTATTTGTATTAAATCACAGCGTTCTTTTAGTTTTATTTAATTTATTTTAAAGTTTTATGATCATTTCTTTTTCTCACTTATCTCTTGTGTGGTAGATGAAGGGTGAGTGCACGAACGAGAACGTGGCTCTGGAGGATATCAGCGGACATTCAGGTTATAAACATGGTGTAAATGAGTGTCAGGGCTTACAGACGACACCACGAGCAGGATGTTTTCTGCTGTTCTGTTGAAGAACTGGTCACCATATACTTCAACTGCAATTGATTTGGATGCAACTATGTTAACCCCTAAAAGTCTGAAAGTGTTTTGTAGACTCAAACACTTCACCCAGACCCCATCCCTTTAAGTTTGGTTTACTTGCATGGCCAAGCTCAACTTTACCTTCTTGGACAGACGCTCTTCGACAATCCTCTCCCGTCCCTGGCTGGAGTCTCCGCAGCTGATGCTCTGGTCGCTGAGGGACCAGCGGTAGGCGTGTCCAGCACCACAGCCCCACATGATGACAGGGCCCGTGGTGGTGTGGGGTTCTGGCATCAGCACGTTAACGTGAGAGCCCCGGGCTCTGTGTTGCATGCTGGGAATGAGGTTGCAGATGGTGGCGTGGCTGTGAGCCCAGAGGACGAGTTTGCAGAGACTGTCGGAGGTGGGGTGAACATGTTGGAAGCCCGCAGCAGAGAGAGAGAGAGAAGAGACAGTGTCTACAGCTTTCAAAGTTTTTACCTGAATGACTTCACCAAAGCTCATCAAGGTTTTGACGTCCAAACTGCTTCTTTACGTCTGTTTCTTGCTCCGCTGATATAAGTTTAGATGTTAGTACTTTTATCATGTTGAAATAAATAACTGTAGTAAATCCAACCTGACAGAGACGTCTCTAGCACTTTGTTGAAGTTTGTAAGCCCATAAAATATCTCGCCAGCAGAAACTGCAGTTTTCAGAACCAGATGTTCTGTTGTTAAATATTTTCTTTAACAAAATCTTAACATTGCAATGTTTATGGGACTTTTTTACTTGCTGAGTTTTTGACATTACTCTTTAAAGATGTTCACATATATTGCATGATTTATTTTACGTTAATTGAGACTGTGTGCAGATGTTAATGGTATTTCTTTTAATCCTTTTTAGTTTTTTCTGAATCCCTAAAGTAATACATACTTTTTAATAAGAATAATGTTGCCCTTGCTGTTTAACGGTGTAAATGGGAACCTGTTTGTCTGTTAATAGAAGTTATTTTGTGTTTCAGTCCTCCAGAAGTTTAATATTAGTTGTTTTGCTCACAGTCTTTAGGAAATAGACTTTTGTTTACATCTCGGTGAAGTATAAACTGAACTGTCCTTAAATGTCCCATGTGAGACATTAAACCGTCTGCACACAGCTGTGACGTCTGAGTAGGTTTCCCATCGTCCCCCTGTGTTTCTCTCTGTCTTCAAACTAAACTCGATTAATAATCGATCATAAATAAAATCGAATGTCCAGCACCACTTTCAACACAATCCAACAGGAAAGTGTCTCTACTGCCCCCAGCTGGACAGGAGGAGACACTGTTATCTCATTTAACTATTATATTATATTATATTATATTATATTATATTATATTATATTATAAGTGTTTTTGATCCTTTTTCTGTCGTGATTCCATAATCCATACAGTTTATTTCTATATAGGGCGTTGTGTTCATGTCTAAACTTCTACAGGAAGAATTGGGCATATTTATTTTTACTCATTGAAGAATCCAGGATAAATTAACATATACATACATATAATTCAGAAGTAAACAAGTGTTTTCTACTTCACTGTAAAGTCTAGATTGAGTTCATGTACCTGTGAGGTTCAAAGTTTCCTCTTCACCTTTATATAAACAGAACATTGATGTTTTGCTTCCAGACCAGTTGTGATTGAGAGAAACAAGTTCTCCCTTCTTCTGCAAGATCATGTGAAAACAAACCTCTGGAGTAAAGCTGCATGTTCAAACATCCAGGTTACATCACGTTTACATGTTTCTGAACACATGAGAACTTTAAAACACAAACAGCAGCTGCTAAAAACAGTTTTTATTTAGAAATGTCTTGCAATGGATTCCAATAAATTATGAGTTAGCTATTGATTTAGTGGCACTTTCAAGGATGATCTATTATTTGTCTAACACCTCTCGTGTATGTTAACCAAGAGAAGAGGAGAATTAGACAAAACAAATAAAACTGATAAGATTTAATAAGAGAGTTAAAATAAAAATGATAAATGTTTGATCATGACTTGTATGTTTTATTTCCAATGTGTGATTTATACTTGAAGTCGTTTGTTCCTGTTCAAGTGCATTATTCAAAGTGCAATACAAATAACTTGAATTAAGACAATTTTAAAAAATGATAATAATAAATAGATATTTTATAGGAAATAAAAGTAAAAAATGATGGAATAAATGGCACTAAAATAATGCAAACGCAGTTTATCAGGATGATGTCAAGTCTTTTAAATGTGGGTTGTGGGTTTTTTGTCTGAATTCAGTGACTTGACTGAACTTGCTCCTGGCTCCACCCTCCGTTAGTCAGCTACGTGTTCGGACTGGTGCCTTCAACTTACAAGCATCTCGGGGAGGAGAAGGACTTTCCCCTCCACGGCTCTTCTCCGGAGGAATAACGCAGCGACTGCAGCCTTCAAAGCTTGAACACGTTCTGTAAGAAACAGGTTTTTTACTTTTTGCATTTTTCCGCTTTGGACGAAGTTCTGCATGGAAACTAATGATATCTGAGCCGCAGAGAGAGGAGGTGCGTATCGGATACTGTTCTGGTTCTTTTACGCACGGATACGAGCTTGTTTGCGCTTGACAGTCGTGGAAAAAACAGCCTGATTATTACTATTATGATTATTATTTGCTTTTGGCATGATCTAAATCTCATTTAGGTTCCACTGACATCTTAAAGGTTTGATCCAGAAAGGAAAAAGCAAGTTCCTGAGGCAACTTTGCAGTGAAAACAGGACACAGACAAGGGATAGTTTTTAGATTATGGCGCTGAAGGCCAGAGTGCTGTACGACTTCCACTCTGAAAACCCAGGGGAGATCTCCATAACAGAGAATGAGCTGGTGACTCTGTTCAGCGAGGAGGAGCTGGATGGCTGGCTGGAGGGGGAGAACAGCAGGGGGGAGGCAGGCCTCTTCCCTGCCTCTTATGTGGAGATCCTCAGAGACCACATCACCTCCAACACCAACAACAATGGCGTCCCCTCACGCAAAACCAAAGCCCTGCCACCCACCCAGACCTCCTTCACGTCCTCTGACTCCCAGTCCCAGAGGGGCCCTGAGGCCGGCAGCGTCGGCAGCGGTGGGGGCAGCTTCCACACCAGCCAGGGCAGTGATGACGACTGGGACGACGACTGGGATGACAGCTCCCCAGCGACAGACGCGCCTCAGGGTCTGGGCAGCTCGCCCCCCCTGTACGCGGTGACCACCTCCCTGCCCGCACGGCGTGGGATCTCCCAGCAGCACCAGCAGCAGCAGCAGGCCAAGAGCTCGGCCACGGTGGGGAGGAACCTCAACAGGTTCTCCACCTTCGTCAAGTCCGGAGGCGAGGCCTTCCTGCTCGGGGAGGCCTCTGCTTTTGTGAAGGATGGGGACAGGATCTGTGTGGTGATGGGGGAGAACGGGCCCGAGTGGCAGGAGGATCCGTACCCCTTCACGTGCACCATCGACGACCCCACCAGGCAGACCAAGTTTAAAGGCATGAAGAGCTACATGTCTTACGGCCTGACCCCAACGCACACCAATGTACGAGTCAACCGCAGGTACATGCTCTCCCCCAGACTCCTCCTCTTCCTCTTCCCTCTCTTGGGGCTTATTCTCCAAACCCCCATACACTTCAAATAAATGTTTCCTTAGTTCTTCCTGTGGCCACAGTTATTCCCACAAAATAGCAAAAACAGACTCGACTGGTTCCTCAGAAACCTCTCTCCGATTCCACCAATTGTTTCCCTGTCAGCAGGTCTGTGTTTTAAAACCAACAAATGCTCACTTACATTTCAATTTCGTTTCAAAACGTATACATATGTTTCTTTTTCACTTCCTTTCCACCAAACACGCTGCGGCCATTTACCTCATCTTCTTTTCCTCATTCCCACACACCCAACCCTCGCCACTCTTCTCCTCTCATTTGTCCTGTCTTTCTCCCTCCCTCCAGGTACAAACACTTCGACTGGCTCTACGCTCGACTCGTGGAGCGTTTTCCCGTCATCTCCGTGCCCCGCCTGCCAGAGAAGCAGGCCACCGGGCGCTTCGAGGAGGACTTCATCTCCAAGAGGAGGAAGGGTCTGATCTGGTGGATGAACCACATGAGCAGCCACCCTGTGCTGGCGCGCTGCGACGTTTTCCAGCATTTCCTGACGTGCGGGGCGGACGAGAAAGCCTGGAAACAAGGCAAGAGGAAGGCGGAGAGGGACGACCTGGTCGGGGCCAACTTCTTCCTCACTATCAGGTGGGAGATTGGGTTCTTTGGTGCAGAGGTTGTGAGTTTGAATCCTCGATAAGAGTCTTTGTTTGTTTTAATAATTTGCAAATTATAGAAAACCTTTGACTGATGATGTTTTTATCTCACTGTTATTATAATTCATAACGGGAGAGTTGAGCCTGGGCGTAGGTATGAGCTCTATGAGTGCCCTTGAGCGGAATTTTTAAATGCATACCTCCACCAAGGCTAACGCTCTATCTCGCCATGTTAAAGAAAGTGAAAAAATCCTCCCCCACCCTTCCACAAAGTGTCATGGAAATCAATTCTGTGGTTTTCAAAATAATCCTTCTTACAGACAGACAAATGGCAATGAAAACATAACCTCCTTGGTGGAGTTCATTAAAATAACAGATGCATACAGATGTTTTTATGGCTTCCATAGCCTGTAATGTATCATGTATCTGCTGTAGACGGCTGTGGTTCTCAGTTGAGTTTCAGTAATGTTTAATTTAAAACACCAGGTTTAATGTCAGGCACTTGAAGTCCAAGAGCTCGACTTTATTCAGTCACATTTTCCACCTGCATTCAACAAGCCCGACAAGCGGATAACAGTTGTAGATAAGTGTATCAGCCAACATCCACTTTACACAGAGTGGGTTTTCAATATGGGCCATTGCCTGGTGACCTCATTAACTTACAGTCTATCTTAACTTCTCACCGTCACGGCTCTGTTATCCTCATTAAGCACCGAGTGTATCGGTGTCCAGCACAGGCACTGGAAATTGTAAAAGGAAATTACTGGTTGAAGTATAAAGTTGAGGAAAAGACTGAGTGCAAAAACAATAAATTACAGCTCACATGATGTTCCAAACGCTGCAAATGAAAGCTGTAAAGGGATTGGACCAAGTAACTAGAACATTTAAGTTTAGAACATTAGAACATGTAAGTAATTTGTTTCTAGTCGTCCTTGTTTCACTGGACTGTAGCTATGAAGGCATTTTATCATTGGGCGTGTCTGATGGCAAAAGAAAGATAACCAGACCAAAGGAATAATTGGCCCTTACATGATTGTGTAATAAAGATGATGTCATGCATAACTGAAGGAAGAAATCATGGAGGATTTTCAGAATAAGGCTAGAAGGTCTGAAACCTAGAATGGCACATTTCTCCATAAAGGCAGCAGTTCCCATAAATTAAATCAAAACCAAATTAAAAACACTTGTAGATATAGGTTCTCAAATTTAGTAGATTATTCTCTGACCAACACTGTAAACCAAGTTTTGTAGAAATCCATCCAGTAGTTTTTGCGTCATCCTGCTATGAGCAGAAAAATAAACAAACAACTGCAGATGAAAACAGAACCTCTGCGTTGGAGGTATTAACCCTCTTTTCCCCGCACTTCTCCCATTTCAGCCCGCCTGCCGTTCCTCTGGACCTCCAGGAAGTCGAGAGCAAAGTCGAAGGCTTCAAGACTTTCACCAAGAGGATGGACGAGAACATTGTCGTCGTCAACACCACCATCAACGAATTCGCACGCAAACAAATTACAGGTTTCAAAAAGGAGTACCAGAAGGTGGGACAGTCCTTCAAACTCCTGGCGCAAGCGTTCGAGCTGGACCAGCAGGCCTACTCAACCGGCCTGAACAAGGCCATCTCTTACACTGGCGAGACCTACGAGGCGATAGGAGAGTATTTCGCTGAGCAGCCGCGCCAGGATCTGGATCCCATTTCGGACCTGCTGGACCTGTACAGAGGACACCTGGACAATTTTCCGGACATCATCCATGTACAAAAAGGTGGGAATGTGTGTTCAAGAACCATAATGTTTGCCATATTGCATAAATCTACCTCAGTGACAGTAAGTCTATTTACATGTAAAAGGTTGTATATTCATTTTAATCATTAATATAGCATATTGCGACCTGGTGGCCGGCAGCAGTATAGGTCTTAGATCCCACCTCCTCCATGTTAAGGGGGTGGGACATAGGCCATGATGTATGTTCAAGTAAGTTTGGTTTTAATTAGTTATTTGATGCTATAAAAACAGGGTAAAAGGTAATGATTGACAGCTGAGACTGGGAGAAAGGGGAGACACCATCTTTACTGTCTATGATATTTCCTTTAAAACCTGAGGCAAAAAGAAATCTCGAGTGTTATGAGTAAGCAATGTGAGACGTTGTGGACTGAACATCCAACCTTCTCGCCAGAAATTAATCAGATGCAGGACATGAGAAACTTTGACAGCAGACAATAATATTTAATGGAACAAATGCCTCACAAATTTAACTATGTTAACTTGCATAAAAAAAAAAAATTAATGAACTAAAATGCATCTAGGCAACAGCCTCCCTATAACCACGTCACTTAAAGGCAGACAATAGACAAAGACCCAGATTCTGACTGTTTCCTAACCAAAGGCAACATCTGTTTTCATTTACTGAACTGCAGCGTCAATCTGGGTGGAAAACTGAAACCAGTGGCCGGTCCATTGTTAACACGCTGGATACTGTGAGGGCCTGTGCTCGCTCGTTTGAAAACGCAGACATGTACAAAAGGCCTTATTGCAGAGGAGTTAGCTTGTTAGTTCGCTGCAGGTTGGGAGGAGGGAGTCGCTCCTGGCAAGCAGAGTCCTGACGTTTGCCAAACCTAGAGGCACCGTTTCTATAGTCCACTGAGCCCTGGTCTCTAGATACAATCACAGCTCCGCACTATGGAAACAGACTGAATCCCAATGGTCTCTGGGACAGACAGGAGTTCACCTACTTTCTGACTGACCAATAACACAGTGGTTTATGTCCCCTGTGTAGCATCTCCTTCACTTCTGAAAGCCTGACTATTTGTTCTTAGTTATCCCGGTGACTCAGTGAAACACAATGAAAACTTTACTCAAACCAACTAATTGCAACTCAAGCTAAAATAATTTGACCTAATTTTCTTAAGGGAATTCATGGAGGTGTCACATGATATGACAGCATCATCTTTTCTGCTTCTCAAAGCACAAAAAGCACTGTCAGCATTCTTGGGTACAGTATGGGTTCCATTTAAGGAAACTGAAGCTACCTATGCTTTGTGCAGAAAAAAATGCAGTTCTTGGCAGGATTGAGAACAGAGTTTTTTCTCCATCAAAAATACAGATTCTATCCAGACTCTTTAACAGAGGGACACACCAAAAATTCCCGGTTCTGTCCATCTCATCAGCAAACAGCCCGGTGTGTCTGTCTGTGACCAGCAGCAGACAATCACCTGACTTCATTCTTCTTAGCCAATACAGATGTATTTTGTGATTAAAGTGTTTATTTGTATGCCTGACACAATCTGATCCTTTTTACCAAACAAATATTCTCAAGAGGGGTCAGGGGGTTGAAACCTTCTGAAGAAATGGGAATCATTGGCACAGAATTATGTGGAAGTTGGGAGACTCAGACTCTGAGTAATCCATGGCTGCTTTCATAGGACTGAGTCACACCCATGAACACATCCCCTCAAATCTGCACCGCTGTCATAACCACCTTTTAGAAAAGATGGACGGTTTAGTCACAGTTTCCATAACAGTTGATCGGATGAAGGGACCTCATGAGACGACTCTGCTTGTTTTCTCTAACTAAACAAACCATTGAATTACAATCTTTTGATTTAACACATGAAGACTTCACAGACTCCTCTCACACAAGGCCTGGCAGTTTCTCCAATAGCATCCAAATTAAAAAGGCATGGTAGCATAAACAGCTGCTGGGAACTTAATGCGGACAGGTTTGCTGACCTAAATGTCCCCGTACAGTATCAAGACGTGACGGGACGTCTTAGCTTGTTCTGTCTGTGAGTTCCGAAGGCTACATCTGATTTGAATGAGCAAGAGATTCCTGGGCCTCTTGTACTGTGTTGCCCTGGGACTGCAGGAATGCAAAATGGAGCCATCGCAGGATTAGTTTCCCCTCCTCCTCTTTTCTTCTCCCTCTTTTTTTCTTCTTCCTCCTGGTTGAGGAGAAGAAGGAAGGAGAAAGAATAGGGGAGGGTGTGTGTTAGAGAGAGGAGGGGGGTTCAGACCCTGAAGTTTCCCACAGGCCACCAGTACAAGAGTTCAGATTACAGCTCTGTAATCGCCTGGCAGCAAGGAGAGCAAAGTCCATGTAGATTTGATTTCGCCATGTTCTCTGTGTGTTTTTGACGTGTGTGTGAGATACAGAGAGAAATCGTGGTCATCAAGGTCAGGAAGCAGAGTCATACCAAGCAACTCACTGGTTTGTAATTTCCTCCAAATGCTGCCATGTGAGCGTCAACATTAGTTCCTCTTCAGCTGTCCCACTTCCCCCTCAAAGTTATATAAAACTAAAGTAGACAATATGAGTCATAGTATGACCAATGAGATAGTCCCTAAATTTCTGTAGTGTGTAAAAATGTTATAATCAGACTTTTTAACCATAGGATCCACAAGCCTATTGTTTAATTAAAAACGGACTTTTCATTCATTTTCAAAGGAAAGAGGAAATGGCAGTTTTTCTTTTCAAAATCCTAGCATCACTTGTTGGGTAACCGCTAGCTTCTGTAATATTTTGGCTAGCCACCAATTTCTTTAACTTGTGGGCTAGTCACCAGCTTCACTAATTTGTGGATTACCCGCTACTCTGTCATTATGAATTTGTGTTCCTGCTTTACTTAACATTCTGCAGCTTTGATATTCAGTTCAACACTTAATATTTCAGTATTCAGAAAACTGATAATTTTACTGCAGTCTGGCAAATACTTGGGCATATTTGAGTTTCTACAGTCAGATGCTACTTCCACATCTGGATCAATTTGGGCACTTGGGCCGAGGACTCAGGCTTATGTTGGGGCCAGAAGTTTCATTTTACTGTCTGGGCCGTGGCCACATTCAGTCTAGCACTGCTCTTATCATATGACAGCAACCAAAGTAGATCAAGACAGTGAAAATGTCTGCTGGGAAAATGTTTTAACCATAATCCACATAATCTTTCCAACGTTTTAGCTGAATTTGCTGTTTTCTGCTCTTCAGTTGTCCCTTTTCATGCTCATGCAGCCACTTGTCTCAGGCTTGTAGGGATGGTGCTAAAGACATAGTTTGACATTTTGGGAAATTTGCTTCTCTTTCTTTCTGAAAGTTCGATGAGCAGATCGAAACCACTCTCATGTCAGGAATTTAAATCAGTTAAGCTTCACAATAATAGATGTATAGTTTTCTCATCGAAAAACAAATTGAAAGGTTTTGGATCCATGTACACCTGCCACACTTTCTCAATCCTCTCCTTCTCTTTTACCCACCTCCCTCTCCCGTCCTCTTCCAGGTGCACTCACCAAGGTGAAAGACTGTCCGAAGCAGGAAGGTGACCTCCACGACCGCTGCAACATCATTTCCTGTGCCACGCTGGCAGAGATCCAACACTTCCACCGCACACGTGTACGGGACTTCCGCTCGCAGATGCAGCATCACCTCCGCCAGCAGATCAGCTTCTTCCAGAAGATCACGACCAAGCTGGAGGACACGCTGCAGAGATACGACGATGACCAGTAAGGATGAGAGGGTGAGGTTGGACCACGAAGGCTGGGGATTCCTGAAGAGGGAAGCAGAGAGGGTTGATTGATGTGCTCGTTCTCTAGTAATGGCGAACACCTGTAAGAGAGAACACCTTGGAGACTTGTGAAGTCATGGATCCTGGGTTCTCCACTCTATTCAAAAAATATAGGCCACTGGGCTGTGGAATGACAACTTGTATTATCTGGACAGCTCTGATGAATGTACCAGTAACTTTGGGACTTTGCTGACGCTGCATGCACATCTGGCAACTCAGCGGGACTGCGGAGATATTAAAAACAGCTGCTTTTAATATGCCTGGGCTGCCTCTGGATTCCCGGGTTCTGAGGGTCATGTGATCTCTGCAGGTCTCCACTGCCTCACGATTTCACTCAAACTCCCCAAATAGCGTGAAATGGATCTTATAATGAGTAAAATACTGGACTCGATGAATTTATCTGTATCTCTATGTGTGTTTTTACTTGAATTACCTGCTCAGTATTGTTTTGATGGGACAAGTTTTTTGTTTTTTGAATATGAACAGAGAAAAAGTGGGCAGATTCCAATCTGTTGATTCACTTCAGTGGTCGGATTTTCATCACAGCTTGCTATTTGAGCAACTTGCAATGCCTTCATCTCACACACAACAACTCAGACACTGTCACATCTTTACCACACCACAACTTTGTGTCTTTGTGCCTTGAATGACCTAAAACAACTGAGTTCAGGCCGGTTTTATTTTTCTGCTTGTTTTGAGAAGCAGCTCTGCAGTTATTGTTTGTTCTTTGGGATGTTGAACTTAAACCATCTGTGTCTCTGTTTTCTCTCAGTCCCAGGAGGTCAGAGGTCAGGCTCAGGGCACAGATACTTCGGTGCTTTCCGACTTGGAATTATTGAAGTTACTGTGTGTTGGCTTTTTATGTGATTCTTGTCCATTTGAAACTCTTCTGGGGACAATTTCTAACAAAGCATTTGACAATCATGGTGTCTTATTGCTTTCAGCCCATTTACGTCAGTGTCACTGAGGTGGATCAGCCACAGAAATTGCTCTGTAGTTGACCACAACCTCTAAACTCCCATTTGGGGGCGATAAGTTAGAATTATTTTTGTGTACTTCATAACATTCCCTTAAAGCAACGAGCAACAATGGTCTGTTTTGAGATTTAAAGGATACAAACACCACTGTTGAGTTTTTCAATAACTTCTGAATAATGTCAATATAAGATACATTTATCTGATGTCTATATTAGAAATGGAAACAATTGAGCAATGACAGATGTGATGACAAGAGAAGATCTTGTGACGTGTTCACATTTTGATTTCCTGACCAATGAGCACTTACGTTATCACATGAGAACCCAGTACTCATGGGTCTGACCGCACCCATTTTCAAACTTGGCCTCTGTTTCAATCTCAACTGAACACCTGCAAAGTTTCGTAACTGTGTCATGTGCATTTAGAAAACAACATTGACGTTATTGGGGTGATAAAATCTGTCCAGAGGCCGAAGGACGTATAAACGCCTGCCAAATTACTCACAACCACCTCTAGTTGTTCCTGCTACACTGCGTGTATTCAGGACCAGGTTTCACTATGACACACACACACTGTTGCAGCTGGTAATAACCTGAATGCATCACAGTACTTTACACTGTATGTGTTACAATGTCAGTTTTCCGCTCACATAGTAAATCCAGTCGATGTTTCAGTTTCAGGTGTGACTTTGACGTTTCTCTCCGGGTTTCGAACAGGGTGAACCACCAGCCTTCATTTTTTTCCAGAAACATATAATTTACTTTGAATGAAAATGTTTGTAAACACACTTTTAATGTATCATGGTGGGGCAACATTTCCGTATATACGTGAAATACAGTGAATACATGTAGAATGTGTTTCTGTCATTTACTGTTTTCCTGAAATATAACTTATAGTTTCACTTGACCTGTTTTGTGTCTTCTTTTTTTTTTGATCAATGGTAATATTTTGTTAATATTGCATTATACATTCTAGTCACGTGTAAATGCCGTAAATATTCAGATGAAGTTGTTTCGTAAGTAAGAGGAATCTTCAATTTCATTTCATAAAATCACTTTCACTATGGAATGTGCCATTTCTCCATCTGAATATGACACAGTTTGACATATTTTATTTCTGGCAATTCTGTTCTGTGTTGTCAAATGCAATTTTTTTCCCCAGAGAACAGCGAGTTATCATCTGTTTTTCGTGCGGAGGCAGCAGCAGCTCTGATACCTGACACCAGAGTTCACAGACTGCAGGTCAGGTTACCTCAGCCGCAGGGCCTCCATTATTTAGATTTACCTCGTCTCCTCTTTGTTTTCATTTTCTTCTTCACTATGTTTCAGGTCTTATTCTGATTTATTATAATACATTAATTACGATTAACCATTTCTTTGTTTCAAGATTTTCTTCCACTTTCCACTATATACTAGTGGTAGTATCAGTTGTTCAGGCTGGTCATGCACAATTTGTTTGATTGAAGCAGACTTAAGGTGAATGAGAAGGTTAAGAAAGCCTTTAACAAACATCATTTATTAAAAATATTTTTTTTACACAATGCATGGAAAACAAATCCAGGTATATACAGGTTCAAAGGTGATGTTGTGTTATGTCTTCATAGCTCACTATGAGTTTATTAACACTGTACGGACGATCAGAGACAGTCACAGTAATGGAAAACTGCAAAATGGTGAATCACACTTGTGCATGAGAGGTAAATGTAGTTTTGAATTCAAGGAAGTAACACAGCAACTAGATGAGCAATGTCAGTTTCCAGGAAAAATACAAACTCTCATTTAAACGAACCCAAAATTCAGCTACATCAAATCTGACTCAGTACATGCGATAAACCTAAAGTCTATTTTTGTGTTCAAGGCTAGTTCCAAAAATATAGCACTATTTTCCTCACTACAGGCGTTAAACCAGTGTTTTGATGAATCAGTACAAGATTTGTTGTTGCAAACTGTGTATTTTGACATAAAATACCTTTCGGGACAGTTAAAAATGGCAGCCTAAGCATAAATAATTGACTTTGAATAAAACCTCACAGCTCTGTTGCTGTTGGGGAATGTTTTAAACGTGAAATAACACTTGTCAGTCATGCTACTACAACAAAGTTCAAGTTGGTTCATTGGAATGACTTGAATATGATGGCCATCAGACATTTTCTACATTTCTTCATCAAATGTGCCTTTTTTTATTCTCTTTTCAGCTCACAGCAGAGCAGATGTACTGTAACTTGTGACCACGTATGTCATTTATACCCTTCCCACTAAAATACACCTCTAAGGCACAGTCAGTTTTTCTTTGAATCGCCTCCTTCAAACCCAGTACTGGTTGTCTCTCAGAGTGGGGGACCTAGAACTCACAGAGGCCTTGAATCCTGTAGCGACAGCTGTGAATTCCTTACGACAAATCATATTATCTCTTTGATTAATGGTACCACCTCTAATATTCCCATCGCCACCTGGTCCGTCAGCTTCAAACGGCCCCCAGAAGGTCATCCCAGGGGCCAGGCTCCTCCTCCTCCTGGGACTTAGCGGCTCTCTCGGTGAGTTGGGGCAGCTTGCAGGGCCGAGCGGGGTGACCACCACAGATGGCATCGCCACGCTCCGCTCCGGCCGTCCCAGGTAAGGGCTGTCCTCAGTGGGTAACGCCACCGCAGCCAGCTCCCGGAGGAGCCGCTGCCGGGCCTGTTTCTCCTTTCGGTGGCGGAACACCAGAATCAGAACCACGAGAATGATGATGAGGAGCAGACAGGCCAGCAGCGGCAGGATGATGAGGAGGGGGTCGGAGGCGGGTCGAGGGAGGACCTCGACATGAACTGGGTTAACGTCGGGAGGGTTCACCGGACCCTGTTTGTCTGAGAAAGGAGTGTGGGGTTGAGGAGCATGAGCGTGACCCCTACCCGCTCCCTCTGCAGCGCTCCCTGACCTGACTCCATGACTCCCGCTGCGTGTGTGGTTCCCCCAGCGACTGTGAGGCCTCAACTTGTGCTGTGTCCTGTTGTGGTTCTTCTGTAACAGAATGTGAGGGTGCAAACCCACCTCCACACTGAGCGTCGTGGATCCTCCACCTCCTCTCCCTCCTCCTGCAGTCGTCCTGTTCTGTGATGGCATACGGACTGTGGTGTGTTCACTGTCTTCCTTATTTAAGCCAGTTGGAGGGTGATGCATCTGGTGGTGGGGTAAGATGGTGAAGTGAAGCTCGCCCTTGGCTGGTTGGACATTTCCAGCCTTCACGAGGAAGATAAAGGAATCATTGAGAGGTCTGGCGGGGGTGTGGCCTTGAGCGGTCTCGAGCATTGATTTGTTATCGTGGAGTTGGGTTTCGCCATCACTCAGAGTCTCTTCGATGGCAACTCGGCCTTGCACCACGTCTCTGAAGGTGAACGACTTCAGGACCTCTGATGCTCGGTTAGGGTCATAGGTCATCTGCAGACATGCACACACAGCAGAAGGCAGAAGTAAAATTAAATGGTAACTGAAAATATTACATTGCATACACACAATACAAAATTGTAAGTAATTTTAAATCAGATATAGATCTCGTTAGAGCACAAACATGAATGTCCCTTTAAATTCCACACCATGTCCATCATAAAAGATTTAGGGCCTCTATGACAGAAAGGTCAGGTAGGAATGGAGCTGAGCATTTTGAAGAGTTTTACCTTGACTAGTTTTCCATGTTTTGGTGGCGACAGAACCTGAAACACCGGGTCGGCTCGGCTGATTCTCGCCAGCTCAGAGGCATCGATCATGGCTTTCCCTAGTTTCACAGCGATGCCACTGGGGACTCTGATCTGCTCCCTGAGGTAGATCAGAGGTCGCACAGTTACCTTCACTGTCTGTGCCGTTACATTTCCATAATCAACACCAGGTGACGAGGCCGACACCGAGACTTGGAAGATGTCCTCTGATTCGCTGAGATCGGTCATGTGATAGACGACGCGACCAAACTGCAGGTCCTCGTGCCTGAAGGTCGTCACCTCCTGGTCGTTGATAGCGATACGTCCGTGGAGAGGGTGTGTGGTGACCGTGTAGGTGATGTTGGCCAGGCTGCGACCGTTGGTCTGAGCTGCCATCTGGTTGGTTGACAGAACGACAGCGGTTCTGCCTTGAACCAATGACAGGCCAGTGTTGTTCACCATGGAGACAGAGGGTTTAATCACCTCCAAACTGAACAGTTTGTAGAGCGGGCGGTGGTGACCGTCGGTTACATTGAAGTAGAAAACTCCTGTTGATGCCTCACCCTGAGTGAGGGAACACATGAAGGAAGACAGGATGAAAGAAAGAGTAGAAAAGAATGAAAAAGCACAAAAATAAAGTTTCGTTATCAGCAAACTCAAATACGACTCTGACGAGAATTACAAATCTCAGAATATTAAAATCCCTGCAAGTTGATTTACATCAATGGTGAAAGCAAAGTCAAGAATATTTAATATTAACTAATAATTCCAGTTAACTTTATAATGAATCCATATGCATGAGAAATTGGATTTTATGCCGCATGTGGGTAATTTGATCACGTGTCTTTGGCGACCCCTACAGGCAATAAGAAAACAGTGCAGTGACAGGACAGTGACAGACTACAATGCATTAGTAGTTTTGCATTTAAAGAATTTTAGGTTTTAAACAGAAATGTGAAGTGTCCATGATCCGGAGTCCCTCTTCACCTGCTGTATGAAATGCAGCCGGCCGTGGTTGACGTCGTACTGGGTGAATGAGGTCACAGGCTCTGGTCTCTCCCCCAGCGTCAGGTAGCCGTTGTTGGGTTTACTGATCACAAGGTAGTGCAGCTCCTCTGGAGGGGTGTCATGGTCCTCAACCTGGATACATCAACATGTTGAACCATAATTAACACTGATATTCAAAAACATCAGAGTTCTATTATAGAAATTTGAAAATAAAATAATTTGGGCTGCTGTAATTAAGATACATGTGATGAATAAGATCAATGTTTCAGCTGATTGATGAATAACCTGAATCTGTTCACTAACTCACCTGTAGGTAGTCTGAGCCAAGCACGACTCTCTCTCCGACCACCACCTTCATGCCCTTGGTTCGGCTCCTGATGAGAGGCGGCTGGTCGTTGACTGGTGTCACTGTGATGTTGAAGGTCTCCGTCACCGCCAGGCTGTCCTTGACTCTGCGATTAGAATCCACGTCTAGTGACGACAAGGGGGGCGATGATATCGAATAGAGAGGGGAAAAGGAGGAAGGGGAAGAGGAGGAATCAGAGGAGAGTGCAGACAAGGATGATGATGAGAAGGAGGAAGAGGAGGAGGAGAGATCCAGAGGAGCAACCCAAGCCTGGAACGTGAAGCTGTCACTCGTCGTCTCAGAGTCGTCGTGGATGTATGTGATGCCGAACTTATTCAAGGTGATCTGTGAGAAATCTGGTTGTTCTCTGGGGAAGGATGAAAAAAAAGAAAGAAACCAAACTTTGTTCAAATAAATTATCGAGGAGATTTATTTCCCAAAATTACTCATGGGTAGAAACATTCAGGCATCAAGAAATGACCCCAGCACCTGGTGAGATTATGTCCTTGCATAGACAGAGCCCCATGACGTGGAGGAGAAATCACACGGTACAGGATGTGGTGGTCTTTCCGGTGTTGATCTGGAACTTTCCCCAGGAGATTGGAGGCATCGAGTTTTGCCCTGTCAATCGTGACCCTGCCTCCCTCCGCCACCACAGCCCCTGAACAACAGAAACAGTTTATTTGTGTGTTCTTCCTCACAACTGAGACAATAATAAGCAGCATTCAATCTACTGTGGCTGGAGAGTCTGAAAATCTGAAACTGGCAAATTATTAGAATTTGTCTCTACTAAAACAAACTTCAGTAGATATGAATTAAAACTGGATCAGTGCAGTGTTTTAGATTGAGTTGAACAGAACCTGCGTTGTTCAGTAGTCTGGTCTCGTGTTGAGGGTTGTCATGATGCTTGTTAGCGAGGTAGGAGATTAAGATGGTGAAGGTGTGTGGAGGCAGGAAAGCAGGAGGAGAGGAGACGGTGAAAGAGAAAGCGTCTGTGGCCGACCATCCCACCGACTCTGGATTGTTCTGATCGTACAGGACGACTCCGTCATTCACCTGAGAGAACATGAAGATATACATATATATATAAACTATATATATAGTTTACCATCTAATTTTACATTCTGTACATATGAACACAACACATAAGATTTCCTACCATGCTTTGCGTGAACGTAGAAATGTCCTGTGTAGAGTTGTCAGGCATGCGTCGGAGCAGGCGGCCATGTTTGGGAGGAGCAGTGACTGTAAACAC